TTTTAATAAAAAAAAAAACCACGTACAAAATTTTTCAAATGGTTCACAAGACAGTAAATGCAAAGAAACATAGAAAAGTAAGATGAGAGGAATTATGCCTTGACTAGAGTGAGTGATACGGCAAAGAAGAGTCAACCTGGAATTTTTTTCTTCTTGAGCTTCTATGCGCAGAGAAACAAGACAAACAAGGAGAAAAGTGTAAATTTGTCCTTAGAAGTTATTTTACAAATGAGTAAATTTGTTTTTAAAAATTTAAAAATAAGTTGTGTGGAAAAATAATATAGATGAGTGAAAATAATAGCACTCTCTTTGCCATGAATTTTTGTATTGTGGTTTACTGATATATTTTGATGTGTGCGTTCTGCTGTAATTTTGACAAATTGGCTTTTAGGAAAAGTGACGTGGCACTAAATGTGTGGTTGAAGATGAAGACATTTTGGTCTTTATATTGTTGCTACCGACGTAGGTGTACGAAGGTTGAATAAGCAGCCAATAATATTTAGCAGCAGCTGGTCGATTTGATGTGGGTGTGCATGCAAGAGTGAAAGACGGGCTTGACTTGAGAGGAAGACCCAGAGGAAAGCAAGAGAGTACGGAAACTCTTGTGAGAGATGAGGTCTTAGGAAATACTGTAATTCCAATGTATCTTGTATTGTTATTATTCTTATAGTGAAGTACTCTATTCGGAGACATAGGCATGATTTTGCCGAACCTCATTAATCTTTTGTGTACTATCTTTGTTCCTTGTTTATTTTAAGTTGTTCAATTGTGGTTGGCTTTGTGGTGTTATTATTTCTGAATCTCGGCTTAGCACGGTGATAAAGCACAACGGGTGGTCTCACTCATAATTGGGACCTGAGTGGCTTGGGAAATAGTAGATCTGGAGATAATGGTAATCATCTCAGCTCCTGTTGTTCCAACAAATTTTAGTAAATATGATACATTAATTTCAGCATAATAATTGATGCAATTCAGGTTCTTTGGAGAAACATGGTGCCTATTTTGAATGGAAGAAACGCAATTATGGTGTTAACTTTCATTAGTTTTAGTAAGCACAGATTATAGTTATACTTTTTTAGTTTTGAGGCAAGAACAAATTTTTTCTTCTTATTTCTTTGTCTCTCCGTTGCTGAATGGAGTGGCTCAATCTTCATCTTGCTTTGCTACTTCTATCTCTTGTCTTGCCAATTTGTATCAGCCAAGACAATTTAGGACCAGGAAAATCTATCATTGGAAACCAGACCTTGATTTCTTCCCTTGGGACCTTTGCATTAGGCTTCTTCAGTCCTGAAAATTCTACCAAATACTTCCTTGGTATATGGTACAACAAAATCCCAAAGACACCAATAATATGGGTAGCTAACAGAGAATCCCCACTTGATTCTCCGGGTGTGTTTACGCTCAGCGGTGATGGGAATCTAGTGGTGTTGGACACTGTGGATGGGACTAGAAAAGTTGTCTGGTCTTCTAATACATCAGTACCTGCTTCTGCAAAGAATGGGACAACTGGTGTACTAGTAGATAATGGAGATCTTCAACTTAGATTTGGAGAAGATACTCTGTGGCAGAGCTTCGATAATCCCTCTGATACTTTTTTGGCTAACATGAAGCTTAGCTTTAATAAAAGGACGGGCAAACGAAGGGCCATTACATCCTGGGCAGCACTTGATGATCCACAACCCGGAAAGTTTACCTCAGGCATTGATCCTAAAGTGCCTGGCCAGCTTGTTATCTGGAAGGAAAATGCTATATATTGGAGAAGTGATTTGTACATTGGCAAGGAGACGAACACAGACTTTGGTGTTGATGGTGATCATGCTCCATCGTTAAATGGAACTGCTTACTTCCTTACTTACAACTCGGATACTGAAGAGGTTTACGTTACTTATGGTGTCTCAGATAATTCAGTCAAACTGAGGGTAATATTGAATCCAAATGGGCAGATTGAGCTGCTTCTGTGGCTAGATCTCAGTAAAAAATGGTTTTCATGGTGGAAGAAGCCTGTTGATACATGTGATTTCTATAATCGTTGCGGTCCATATGGTGCCTGCAATGATAAAAATGAAACCCTCTCATTACCATGCAAGTGTTTGACAGGTTTTCAGCCAAAATTCCAAGAACAATGGGATAAGGGGAATTGGGTTGGTGGCTGTGTTCGAGAGAAAGCATTGATGTGTAAAGAAGATGAGTTTTCAAAATTTTCTAAGTTGAAACTGCCAGATCATGCTGTTCTGTTAGAAAATATGAGTATGAGTGCGTGTGCATCTAAATGCTTCCAGAACTGCTCTTGCACAGCTTATGCTTATCCAAATGTGACAGCAGGAAGCATTAGGAAATGTCTGACATGGTTTGGGGACTTGATGGATATTCTAGATGATCAACCTGTTGACTCTCCGAGTGTACAAAATTATGGGCATGATGTTTATATTCGTGTTCATGGCTCCCAACTAGGTAAGTTTTGTGATTTCTTTTGCTTTTTTGTGCATGGATTTGTCAATTAGAATCCGTAGCAGACAGTAGTTGGCCAGAAATGACGCTTACAGCAATTATTTTATTGGTCATTCCTTCTCTTTTCTTGGCAGGTCTTAAGAGTCATTCCCATAATGTATTGAAAAAGTCCCCTGTAATTGGAATAGCGTCGGCAACAGGGGTATTGATTACATTAGTTCTTGGCTATTTCTTTTGGAAGAAATACTTGGGAATGGAAGGTACAGTGCTACCACCCTTCTCTTTCTCACTCACACAAACACATATATTCTAGTGTTCCAAACAACCGATGCTCTAATAATAAGAATGAAACAGGGAGCACGGAAGACAGTATGAGTGAGACTATAAGTAAAGCCAGAGCTGAAGCTGCGAAGAATAATGCAGAACTACCACTCTTCAGTTTAAAGAGAGTTTTAGCTGCAACAAACAACTTCAGTGTAGCGAATAAACTGGGGGGAGGGAGGATTTGGCCCTGTTTATAAGGTGACACTTCACCACTTTGTAATGCTAATTAATGTTGTTCTTTCATAAATATTATAATTTCTTTTCTTGTTCTCCTAATAACCTTTTTCCTAATAAGTAGAATTGGTAAAATGGTGGTTCACTTCGTGTGGAATTTTCCTTCCACTACAGGGGGTGTTACTTGAAAATCAAGAAGTAGCCATAAAAAGGCTGTCAAAGAAGTCAGCGCAAGGACATCAGGAGTTTATGAACGAGTTAAAGCTTATAGCCAAGCTACAGCATACCAATCTTGTTAGGCTCTTGGGTTGCTGTATTGAAGAGGAGGAACTCATCTTGATCTATGAGTTCATGCCCAATCGAAGTTTGGACAAACTTTTGTTTGGTATATCCTCATTCCTTCTAAGATTTGATTGTTTGACATTGTTGATTTCTCGGACGTCAAAAGTTGTGTGATGCAATATCTTTTTCCATTTGTTCAGCATTTCATCTAAAAAAAGAAAAAGGAAAAACACTTAATTAGCTCATTTTTTCTTCATGGTTTGTCCTATCAGCTCCATCTGACAATACAGAATTAGATTGGGGAAGACGTTTTCGAATTATAGAAGGTATTGCTCAGGGACTACTTATATCCACAAGTACTCTAGATTGAAAATCATTCACAGGGACTTGAAAGCAAGTAATGTGCTGTTGGATGGAGCAATGAACCCCAAAATTTCAGACTTCGGAATGGCTAAGATTTTCGAAATAAATCAGACTGAAGCAAATACCAATAGGGTTGTTGGCACATAGTAAGTATTTATATGTAGGGCATGTTTTCATTCATTTGCTAAACCTGATCCTATCATTACTATTGCTTACCTCTCTACCATCAACTCATGCAGTGGATACATGTCGCCAGAGTATGCCAGATATGGCCATTTCTCTGAGAAACTAGATGTGTTTAGTTTTGGAGTGTTGTTGTTGGAAATTGTAAGTGGAAAGAGGAATGCTGCTTTTTATCGCTTTGAACATTCACCAACTCTTGCTGGATGGGTAAGTATAAATAATTCTAAACTATATATGTTCCTTTCTGTTTGTATGCCTTGTAAATTTGTGATTAACCGTAAAATTGAAGTTTAAGTATTTTAAATCTTAATTAGGCATGGGAATTGTGGAAAGAAGGTAGAGGAATGGAGGTGATTGATGCATCAGTAAGGGAAACATGCCCCCCTGATGAAGCTTTGAAGTGTATCCATGTAGGGTTTTTGTGTGTTCAAGAAGCTCCAGCTGATCGACCAACAATGTCTTCTGTAATTCGTATGCTGCAGGCCAATGAAGCCACATCACTTCCACCGTCCAAGGAACCTGCCTTTTCAACTCACAAGAATTCCATACCTGCTGCTGTTAGTTCTTCTGGTCAAACACCTGCAAGTTTTTCCAACAATACAGTCACCAATAGTTTGGCAGAAGGTCGATAGATGTTCCTATTTTAATAAAATATTTGCATATTAGAGACAACAATGCTGCTCTTCTGAGGACCATATTTTGAGGACCTGTGAGGTCCAAACTTGTTACATCCGTTCGATTTAATCTAATGGCTGGTGTTGCTAGCCTCTTTAAAATACCATTTCACCTATTTATAAAATCCAAGATTACATTTTTTATCTTTTGTTTTATAATGTTTTTTTTTACAAATAATTACTCTCTCTCCCTCTTCGTATTCTCTCTGACTCTCTCGGCTTTTCACCCCTTTGAACGACAAAGTGAAATTATTGGCAATGAGTTGGAGAAAATAAAAAGATTTTGCTTGAATTGAGTTATGGCTTTTTATCACAAATAGTCCTTAATGTTTACGATTTTATCACGAATAGTCATTGAGGTTTTTTTGTGACACTAATAGTCCTTAATGTTAGGGCTTTTTATTACAAATGGTCCATGGCGTTAGAAATTTTGTCAAGTGTGACGTGTAAGATAAGTAGATCCCACATATTCAATCACATTGTGACATGTGGATAAAAAAATAATTAAATAATTTTTTTTAATGAAAATTCCATTTTTTTTTCTACAACTTTTCATCCCCCTTCCTCTACTCCATCTCTCTCCCCATCTGCCCTCGCTCTCCATCCTCTGCCCTCCCTCTCTCCTCCCTGTCCTCTCCTTCTCCCTCTGTAAAAATAATAATATAACCCATATATCTTTCTCCATCTTTGTATAGTTGTATATATATCATAATCCACAACCTGGGAATCCCCCTTTGTTTTTTTCTTGCCCATTGCCTGCCACCCGCAAGAAAAAAATGGTCTTTGGGATTCTTTTAATGGTATCTTTTTTTAACACTGCCACCCGCAAGCCGCAACCCACGCCCAACTCCCCTACCCTCTCCCACTGTATTTCTCTCCTCCTATACTCTCCCCCTCTGTTTTTAATTATTTTAAGTTGTTTGAATAAAATGTTTGTATAAAAGGAAATGTGAAACTACCTTGTGCAAGTGATTATTTTGCAAAATATACAAAGGGAGAGGGGTGGGTTGAGGGTGGGCATGGGGTGGTCGGGTTGTAGAGGCAAGAAAAAAAACAAAGGGAGAGGGAGAGCACAGGGAGGAGGGAGAGAGAGAGAGAGACTCTAAATGGATTTTTAATGGATTTTCATCAAAAAAATTATTTCTTTATTTATTTAATCCACATGTCACGATGTGATTGGACATGTGAGCTCCACTTATCTTCCACATCAGACACTTAATAGAATTTCTAACAGCATCGACTATTTGTGATAAAAAAAACCCTAACGTTAAGGACTATTAGTGTCACAAAAAAACCTCAAGGATCATTCATGATAAAATCGTAAACGTTAAGGACCATTTGTGATAAAAAAAAAGCCTTGAGTTATTGATAGCATCCTTACTAAAAATAACACAACAGATACAAATTTGCCTCGTAAAGCACCCAAAGGACAAAGGTAAGTTATAGAGTGAAGGCCTATATATAACCGGTAAATTATAGTGTGAAAAGCATATATTTTACCAATACATTATAAAGTAAAAAGCCTATATCTTATCGGTAAGTCAAGTAATAGAACCCCCTATCCATTTACCATGCCCGATCGTCTAGTGAGTTATGAGATCCTGAAAAGAACAATGGGTAGAATAGAAAGTAATAAACACGTTAAGTGTATCAAATAAACGACCAACATATAACAAGTTGCAACGAATATTAGGAACCAAGAGTGAATGGGACAAAGGTAAGGAAGGGGTGAGGCTGATGGTACCTTCATCGGTAACGGGGGAAGGTAAACCATTAGTACTAGTGATATAGTAATCACGAGGGTTACGAGACAAGTCATTAAACATGTTAGTATCACAAGTCATATGATCATAAGCACCAGTGTAAATTATCCACAAATTGGCAGACGGGGCATGAGAATTTGCCTTTTCTTGGGTCATAGTGTAAGCAGCCTTAGGGCCATACATATGAGCTTTGAAGTCAGCAAACTAATTAGGGTAACCATGCTCCTTAGAATACTTCTCGGAGTAATGATCACCACTGTAGTGACAACACTTACAAGGTCCTTCAAGAGAACTAGGTTTGGCATGAGTATAACCAGAAGGACGAGAACCATAAGGAGAGGAGGACTTTTGAGGAGACCGGCAATAGATCATTTCCTAACGAGTGCCGGTCAGTTACAGGTAGAATCCACTTTTAGGGTTGCCGCACCTCCTCCGAGCATAGCAGATTGACGAGTGTCTTCCTTCATGACAATAGCATAGGCTTCCAGAGGAAACGGGACGGGATTGAGAGCAAGGATTTGGCCACGGACTCCATCAAACGGCGGATCAAGCCCTTCAAGAAAATCATAAACTCAATTGGCTTCAATTTCTTTTTGACAACGAGCCACATCAGCAGAACAACTAAAGTCATTCGAACACAGACAATCAATCTCTTGCTAGATGGCGTGGATTTTTTCATAGAACACTTTTCACATATTCACCATTCTAAAATGTAAGTATGGACTACCGTCGGACTTGAAACAACCAAAAACTATTCTGAGTCACAGTATAGGTCTTCCGAGAGACCTTCCAAATATCCAAAGCAATAGCACCATGTTCAAACAAGGCACGAATTGGTTTAGTCATGGACTTGGGAAGCCATGATTGCACCAATCAATTATCTTCTTCCCATTCGGCATAGGCATCTGAGAGTTTGGACCTACCAGGCTTCTTCCCATTGATGAAGCTTGCCATATGACTACTAGTAATCATAAAGCGTGCACCCCGAGACCAAAAGGCATAATTAGAGCTATCCAATTTGTCAGGAGTAATAGGAGCAGAGTAATCACGGGAAGGACGATCCTCCTTCGTTCTAAAAGCACTAGAATGCACCACAACCTTGGAATCATCACCCATGATAGCAACGGAAACAAAACACATGGCAAACAGAGCATACGGCATCACAAACACACAAACCCAATAGGGCACACACGACATAGGCATAGACACAAGAGAACCCTAAAAAGAAATTAGGGCACACAGCAGAACACGGGTGGGCACAACTCACAAGGTCACTAGAAAAGTAGGCTCTGATGGGTAAAGTATTTTTAGATTGTATTTCATTCTCCAAAAGGAGGTATTTATAATATAAGACTGTAAATCCTAGTACGGTTATGCAAAGAAATAAGATGAAATCCTAATTACACAATATCTATACAAAAGGAAAGAAATAAAATCCTAATAGACTAGGAAATAAATTTCCTAATTAAACTAGAATCTCGATAACAGAAGCTCCAGCTGATCGACCAACAATGTCTTCTGTAATTCGTATGCTGTAGGCCAATTAAGCCACATCACTTCCATCGTCCAACGGACCTGCCTTTTCAACTCGCAAGAATTCCATACCTGCTATTGTTGGTTCTTTTGGTCAAATACTTGCCAGTTTTTCCAACAATACTGTTTTTCCAACTCGCAAGAAGGTCGATAGATGTTCCTATTTTAATAAAATATTTGCATATCAAAGATAACCTAGTTAGTAAAATACAGAACGGGAAAAGTACGAATAAAATACGTACATGTTTTATTCAGCAGAATTTTGGCAAGATACAATTGAAAAGTTTGGCCACTATATATAATATTTTAATATATATGTGTGTGTGTGTGTGTGTTTTTTTAATAATATGTGAAAATTATGTGAATTTTGTCTGTATTATTCAAAATTTTGTAAAAAATATATACGTACATGTATAATACATGTAACATTCTGTTTTTTTTTTTTTTTTTTTTTTTTTTTTTTTTTGTTAAGCACCCAAAGGCCAAAGGTATATTAGTCATGGATTTTTAGGGTTTGTGGGACTTGATGAGGGTTTCCACCACCCTCAATAGTGAATTTGGGGATTCTATGGTTGATTACACCGACGGGTTATTCGTGAGCATAAGCTTCTAGACTTCACTTTAGAAAGGAAACTACTACTCGACGTCACAGACAGAGGGGGGGGAAGGGGGAAAAGTAAAAAATATATTACGCTCAGAATATTTGGGTTTTCTATACGAATCAAATGGGTATTTTAAAGTGGGATTGAATTTGATGGATATAACGAGTTTGGAGTTAACAAGTCCTCAAAATCTGGTCCTCAAGTGGAGAGAAAGACTTTCATGAAAGGGAGATAGCATTATTTTGATATATTAGGTCAATAACACTATGACATGCGTAATAAGACTTCCATGTATACTTAAAAGTAATTAGGGTTTAAACTGATATATTTATTTTTTCTCAATGAGGGATATATATACTACATATAGAGTGGGTACAAATAGGAAATATATACATAATCTCATAATTCTACTCAAATTATATAATTACAATAGAATACAAATTCTATTCCTAATAGGAACTTTGACTTTAACTCACGCCAACACTCCCTTTCAATTTGGTGCATAGAAATCGGTACTACCCAACTTGTCAAGTGAGCTTTCAAATCGGCACTTTGACACGACATGGGTCAACATATTTGCAAGCTGCTTCGAAGAAGGCACAAAAGCTATAGAAATTAACTTATGCTCCAACTTCTCCTTAATGAAATGCCAATCAACTTCTACACACTTAGTTGGATCATGTTGCACCGGATTGCTAGAAATTTCAAATGCAAACTAACTATCACAGTGGAGCTTTGTAGCAGCATCCGATCTAAACCCAATTTCAACAAGTAACCACCTCAACCACAGTATTTCATAAACCCCTTGGGCAATCTCTCTGTACTCAAACTTTGCAGAGGACTGAGACATAGCATTTTGGTTCTTGCTACACCAGGGAACTAGGTTACCACCAACAAAGGTAAAGTAACCTGATGCAAAACGTCTATCTGTAATATTCCCTGCATAATTTGCGTAAGTAACCTTCTAGATCCAAGTGTTCATTTTTCCTAAATAATAAACCTCTCTCAGGAACAGGCTTTAAGTAACTCAGAATATGCATCACACCAGCCATATGATCCTCATTAGGTGAACGCATAAATTGACTAGCAAAGCTTACCGTATAGGCAATATCATAGCTTATGAGTGATAAATAGATCAATCTCCCAACCAACCTTTGGTATCTTTCTTTGTTAGTTGGAACTTGATCCACATAAACCCCAAGTTTATGATTATCAACAATAGGTCTATGATTCACATAAACCCCAAGTTTATGATTCCACTATCTACTAGCAGGTCTATAACATTCTTCCTTTGTGAAAGAAATAAGCCATGTTTAAATCAAGTATGATCAACCCTATGTTTAATGAATAGAGTATGATCAGTATTGGCATGTTGGAGTAAATTTACCAACCTATACTCGAGGAGACTACTTTAACCCATACAATGCCTTTTTAATCTACACATGTTCCCCATGTCACCAATAACACTATACCCTGGTGGAAGACTCATGTACACTTCTTCTTCTAATTCAGCATGTAAGAATGCATTTTCTACATCAAATTCCTTATGGTCCAATCCAGGTTTATTGCTAAGAGCAAGTCCACCGCTGGACTCAAACCGGGCAAGCCATGGGTCCTACCAACCCGGGCAAGCCCACGGGCAAATTCTGCATGGGCTTAAACCCGAAGACGCTGACGTCAGTGAAAAAAAAAAAAAAAGAAAAAAAAAAAAAAAAAAAAAAAAAAAAAAAAAAAAATAAAAAAAAAATTATGGATTTTCCTATAGATACATAACAATTTTATTCATTTTCCACATCAAATCCTCATACAAACTCTTCTCCTTCCAATATTTGTAAATTGTAATCTTTTTTTTCTTCTTGCATTTCTAAATTGTTATATTTTGTTGCATAATCTTTTTTTTTCTTGCCCTTGCCTTGCCTTTTGGGGGTGGAGGTGCTCTAAGGACAGCAAAACTCTCACAGTATTCATTTTAGCCACAAGTGCAAAAGTATCATGATAATCAACTCCATACGTCTAATTGAACCCTTTAGGTACTAATCTTGCCTGTACGTCTCCTTAGTACCATCTACATTATATTAACTGTAAACACCCATCTGCATACTACAGGTTTTGTTCCCTTTGGTAGATAAACAATGTCCCATGTATTATTTTTCTACAGCGCCTCCCTTTTATTATTCATGGCTTCATCCCACTTTGGATCATTAAATGCCTCCTCAACACAAGTGAGAATTTTAATATTATCCATTCTGGTCACAAATGCTTTGCACTCATTAGATAACTTGTGATCAGACATATAATGGGTAATAGCATATCTTGCTTTGCCTTTTGGTGAGTAACGATCAGGTAGAACCCCACGATTCCGTCTAGGTTATAGAACATACGTATTATCAATAATATGAATAGAATTAATTACTTCAGGAATATCCAGTAGAGCTTGACCAGGTACTATTAGAGAAGCTTTAGGGGGCAATCGGTTCAGTGACAATAGTGGTATCAGTTAAAACAGCAGGTTCAGCTGGTGCAGTTGGTTCTACTCGTGTAGCAGGTTTAGCGGGTCAACAGGTTTGGTTGGTTCTTCTCCTTGGATCAAACCAACCAATACCACTCCCCTTGTAAATCTAGCCAATTATGTCATTCACTACTACTCCTAAAGGACATGCTTGGGTGTATCAGAGATGAACATCTCATCCTCAATTATGTTAACATCCATAGAAACATATAGACGTCGGGTAACAAGATGATAGCATTGGTAGCCTTTCTGATAATGAGAGAAACCCAGAAAGACACACTAGAGAGCACAAGGGTCCAACTTACTCCTCTGATTCTAATAGATGTGAACATAGACGACACAACCAAACACCTTTGACGACAGAGTTAGCATAAAAGAGATAGATATATGATGGATCAGTACTGCATATAAGTTCAGAAATCCAAAACTCACACTACTACATTTTAGTCTTTGCGCGACAAAGGGGTCTTCGTCGCTCAAAAATGATTTTAGTCGCACATAATTATGCGCGACAGAAGTTTCGTCGCGCACAATCCGTCGCGCAAAGTTCGTGAAGAAAGGATTTGCGCGACGAATAAATGTCATTCGTCGCGCTGTTTGCGCTACGTATAACAACTTCGTTTTAAAAAAACATTTCGGGACGACCTCAATGTCCGTCGCACAAATATTTGCGCCACGAAACAGTGGTCGTCGCAAAAAAAACTGCGCGACGGACTCTTTCGTCGCGCGAGCTACATGAACTTTGCGCGACGAAATCATATTCGTCGCGCATACACATTTTGCGCAACGAAATTATTCGTCACGCATGATTAAAAATATATTTGTCGACGTGTTATTTAAATGTTTTTGCGCGACGATTTACGTTTCGTCGCGCAAAAGCAATATATATTATTAAAAAAAATTTATTATTATTTGATTTTTAATTTTGTAAAAAAATAAATTTGGTTTTTTTTTAATTAAAATGAAATTACAATAAAAAGATTAATCGTAAAGAAAACATCTATTATATAAAATAAAAGAAATGTATACAAATTGTAAAAGTAATTATAAAAATAAAAAACTAATCAAATAATGTTCCAAAATCTACTTGGTCATCTGCCACATGCGGCTCGGAGGTATGGGCGTCTGCAGGGGCCGTGGTGTGCTGGGGATGCTCGGGGTGGACGGGCTCGGAGGTCGACGCACCAAAATTCGGGATTGGAATGCCGGGACCGCGTGAGGGACTGCAGAATCACCGACATCTGACCCTCAAGCTCGGCAACCCGCGATGTCAAAACAGTCACCTGACTGTTTGCCTGCGACGATGACCGCGGTCGAGGTTCCCTCTGTCGGGCATTCCCCATCCCCCTACAATACGTTCCCGGCCTCCTCCCGAGAGTCTGATCCAACGTCTGCGTCAAAATCTGAAATCCAGCATCATGCGGAGGATCCACAGACTCGATCGGAGTCTCGGGAGGAAGTTGGGAGGCGGACTCTTGAAGAACCAACTGGCTCCTCTCCACCATCGTCGTCTGTTTAACATTACATAAAATATAAATTCAAAAATGCATATAAATTGAAAGTGTAACATAAGAATTAAAAATACATAATACTTACATGAAGGGACTCGGCCAACTCATTCCCAGGTCGAACATAAACGTCACCAAAGACGTCGATCTCTGGGAATTTCGACCCCCCCTTAATTGAACAAGAGAAGGAAATATTAGTATGAACAAAAGAAATTAATAATAATGACGTATTAAAAATTAAATATAAATTATATTATTCTTACCCGACGCCGTGCATCCATCCTATATGAGAAGGGCCTGGAGCCGGAATGGTGAAGAAGAGTCTTCTTCTTCCTATTGCCCTTATTCACTTGGGCTTTATTCTGTTATACAAAAAATAAAACGTAATAATTGAACTATAAATAAATTAAATAATAATGAGATATAAAAAATAAAATAAACATTAAACAAATATTATTAAAAAAATACCACATAATCGGGCGCCTGAAAATGAGCGCAGAGCCACGCCAAACTATCCTCCCGCCCCTCAAGCTCTTTCGGGCAACCCTCCTGAAGAGCGACTTGCGGATCATCAAACGCCTGAAAATGGTGGTGCAAGTCGCCCTTCCACTGCTTGTACCTCTCACCGAAGAGTCTGTTGACGTACGCCAAGGTCTCCTTGTTGATGTCCTCTAAGTCGTAGTTCGTCTGCAATAAATTGATTACATACATTAAGTAATAGAAATATATAAAGTTTGAAAGAAAAATAATTAAAAGATAGGAAACATATCGACAACTGGCCGCGAACTTGCATCTTGATCTCGTCAGGCATGACCTTCCAAGACTTCCATTGCATCGGGGAATGGGTCCAAACGACGTGGCCAATGTCGTGGGCCAAGGAGCTATGCAAGTCCGCCGTCGGTGCAGCCCGATGGCGCTCGTCATATCCGATGCTGATACAACTGTTGGTCACCCGGGTGACCTTCGCCGTCTTTAGCTGCCGACACGGCCCTCGGGTGTTCCTCTTGGCTGCAAAGGGATATGACAATTGTTACATATACAATCAAATTGAACCATAAAATTCCCAATTAAAAAAATGTTAAAAACAAAAAAAATGAAAGTGGAAGGGTATTACCTGGAGGTGCCCCCGAGGCACCAGTACAGTCAGTAGATGTGGCGTGGGTGCCCTAAGCGATAACAATCACCGGGAAATCCTAAAAATTAAGGGCCAAGGTTCCTACCCTAGGTTGAAAACATCAATTGGAGGCACTTTTGTTCTCGGACCTACCCCGAAAAAACGGACGGAAGTGGCCAGAATTTCAATTTCAAAACCGGCCGAAACCTAGGGTTTCAAATTCACTACCCTATGCACACAATCAATCAAATCCTACACAACCATCAGCTAGAGCATGAAAAATAGCCCAGAAAGCATACCTCAATTGCCGGATTTGGTGCCCGGAGGAGAGAGAACAACGGCGGCGAAGATTCGGCCTAAACGGAGGAAATCACGGTGGCAGGATGGACGGCGACGGCGGAGAAGCTCCTGGGTTCGACGGTGGTGGCGGCAGGGTCTGAATTGGGGCGGAGTAGGGGCTGAGGTCACGGCGGAGAGAAAGGGAGGTTTAGGGTTCCGTTTGAGAAACTGGGGAAGAAGGAGAAGATCGCAATTTTCAGAAAACTTATTCGACTTTGTGCGACGAATATAAATCCGTCGTGCAAAATTCATTAAAATAACTTTTGCGCGACGAAAACATAAACTTTTGTCGCGCAAGATTAAAAATATGACCTTTGCGCGACTTAAAAACATGATTTCGTCGCGCAAAGTTGTGAAAATATAAACTTTGTGCGACGAAAAAAATAGTGTCGTCGCGCAAATTTGTCAGCCGCCCAAAATTTTGGGATTTGATTTTGCGCGGGGAAGATAAATGCATGATATTGCGCGACGAATAGACAGAAGTTCGTCGCGCATTCTAGCTTTGCCAAACAAAATTTCGCCAAAAAAATTTGAAGGGCAGGACTTTTTTAATGATTTTGCGCGACGAAGGTACTTAAGTTCGTCGCGCAATCTGGCTTTTGCTAAACAAAATTTCGCCAAAGTGTTGGACAGAAAAGGGCTGCAATTGTTAAATTTGCGCGACGAAGGGACTGTGTTCGTCGCGCAATCTGGCTTTTGCCAAAAAAATTTCACTAAGTGTTGGAGCGGAGAAGGGCAGCGAATTTTTTTAATGATTTTGCGCGACGAAGGGACTTATGTTCGTCGCGCAATCTGGCTTTCGCCAAAAAAATTTAACTAAGTGTTGGAGCGGAGAAGAGCAGCGACTTTTTTTAATGATTTTGCACGACGAAGGTACTTAGTTCGTCGCGCAATCTGGCTTTTGCCAAAAAAATTTAATAAGTGTTGGAGCGGAGAAGGGCGGCGAATTTTTTTAATGCTTTGCGCGACGAAGGTACTTAAGTTCGTCGCTGATCTTTGCGCGACGAGTAAGATTTGATTTCGTCGTGCAAAACCATACCTTGTACCCTAAACCCTAAAACCTGTACCCTAAGCCCTAAACCCGAACTCCTGAACTAGTTTCAATGATCCAACCGGCAATCTTCTTTTTTCATAGTTCAAGATCGTATACGTCAAAAATCATAATGAATGAACATTCAGAGATTGAGTAACGGGACAAAACTTTTCGACGGTTCTAAACAAAATTGTCCCGATTCAACGGTGATTTTAACTCCGATCTTGAAAATTTTTTACAGCTGCGGTTCTTGACCCTATATGAATACAGAGATGTAATTCGATCTTCAATTTCAGATATTTACAGTACAGGACATCACATAATCTTATGTTAGACTGAATGAATGTATAAAGAAATTATTCATTTTTATGAATATTGTGTTTTTATGGAATACGCATTCTAGGAAACTAGTTTCAGTAATCTAGCCGTCAAATATGTTGTGTTATACTTCGAGATCGTATACGTCGAAAATGAGAAAAAAAAAAAAAACAGAGATTCAAGTAACGGGACAAAACGTTTCGACGGTTATAAACGAAAAGTCATGATTTAACGGTTATTTTGACTCTGATTTTGATGATTTTTTACAGCTATACTGTTTAACCCTATGTGAATACAGTGAGCTACTTCGATCGTCAATTTCAACTATATACGTGTGTATATATCATAAATATATATATGTGTATATGTTTGCGCGACGAGGTCTGTTTGTTCGTCGTGCAAAAGGCACTTGCGCGACGAAATTATTTGTCGCGCAAATAATAGAGTATGCGCGACAATTATGCCTTCGTCGTGCAAGGTTATTTTCATTCACATATTATTAATCTGAATTATTCATCATTACATATAATTAATTGTATGAAAGTATGATTTATTCTATTTTCTTTTGATTTGAGAATGGAAGGATTGTTGATAATCTTATTTTCTTTGTATTCATTTTTTCGGTATATGGTTTTCATTTTTAAAAGTTTTTGTCAAATAAATTAAACTTTATGATAAAATTACATATATATGTTTATAACTACATTATTTATTTACTAATTTTATGATACAAACTACATTTTTTCGACAATATGCATCGTCGCGCAAGTTTTTGTATTATTTACCAATGGTTTATAACTACATTTATTTTAATAATCTTTCATTTCTGCACATATATAATGTTTGGATATAACAAGTACATATATGAAAACATTTGCATTACACAAAATATGTCCACTAACATAATAAAATTACAAAAAAATTAATCATTCATCATCTGAACTATAATAACTTTCGTTATCGTTGCTATCATCACTTTCGGTCTCCCAATCCTCTTCCTCCTCCTCCTCCTCCCGCCTCCTCTATAACTACATCATCGTCGTTGCTCGGGCCAACTGCAACATCATATCGCGGAAGATCACCGAGGTCAAATTGTAATTGACTGAATCGGTATTTCGATTGAAGACACTCCTTGTATTTGAAATGGCTCTTGTATAACATTAGTATCTCGAAGTGTTTCCGCATCATTTTCCATTGAAGATTCTAAACGTTGGTCAGCCACATTGTTGACGTCGTTGTCAGTTGGGTCTTGTTCTGGTATAGCATACACGTTCCTGTGATCCATCTTTTGAACAACGTTCCAACCGCTTCCGGCTTTAGGGTCATCTAGATACACAATTTGTGTTGCCATGTTTGCCAAAATATAAGGGTCGTCATCATACCAAGTTCTGTTCATGTTCACAGATAGTAAGCCATGATCGATTTTAACACTTCCCGACCTATTTGGGTTGGTGTCAAACCATCGACACTTAAACATGATCACTTGGTATCGATCTTTGTAAAGCAATTGCACGACAGTTGTGAGTTTGCCATAGAAATCAATGTTGTACTTTCGCCTCCACCTGGGACATGGACACCGCTGTTTTGCGTACACAACTTGTCATCTCGTGCTTCGCCAAAAATTTGACGCCGTTGACATTACAACCCGAGAACAATTCAGCGCGAATCGGGCCGAACGCCAAGTTATATAACTCATCACTGTAAGTTGGGGAATTCGATGATTTCAACTTATTCACCTAATATTATACAAAACCATTCATATGTTAGTCTGACAAAATTAAAACTACAATTATATTTCTCAAATAACAAACACTGATAACTTACAGAATCCAAAAACCATTGTGGAAACAATTCACGGTGTTTCTGGGCAACCAAAGTGATGGATGTTCTCGCTTCATCATCTCTTCATGCTCATATAAGTATCCCATGATCTCATCACAATTGTTCAGTACGAACCAATGCGCTACCTCCATGTCATTTCTAGAAAACGACTCTCCGCGTCCAGGATCTCCAAAAGGTCGTGCGCTTTGGGCAAAAACAGAAAGTTTTTCATTTCTCATACCTCCATCATGATTGCGCTGAGGACGATTGAAAACCGTCTCCACATCTTTTAAATACATTCCGCAGAAAGTAAGCGACTCATATTGAACCCAAGCCTCTACGATTGATCCTTCGGGCTTCGCCCTGTTGCGTACACTTTTTTTCAGCTCTCCGAGAAGCCCTGCCAAAATAAAACGATATGATTGAAATTAGCAAGCATGTGATAATGATGCATACACAAACGATAAGGATTATATACCTTTCTATTGGATACATCCAGCGATAGTTGACAGGACCAGCAAGTAATGCCTCTTCTGGCAAGTGAACCATCACGTGCATCATACTTGTGAAGAAAGCTGGAGGAAATATCATCTCAAACTTGCATAGGACTTGGACAATGTCATGGCGCAACTAAAACATGTCCGTTTTTTGCAAAGTTTTTGCCGTCAGTTGGGAAAAAAATCTGGACAACAAAATGATTGGCTTCACTACATCTTCCGGCAATAGGTGTCCAAATACCAACAGGAAGTAGGCGTTGCATAAACACATGGCAGTCATGGCTTTTAAGTCCAGTAAATTTACCCCCGTCAACATTCACACAACGTGCGATATTAGAAGCATACCCATCGGGAAACTTTACTGACGATACAAACTTTAGAAACTCTTTCTTGTCATTCGGTTTCATAGAAAAGAATGCAAGATCCCTTCTAGCTTTATCATTGTCCCTATTCATCCCATAAACCCCTTCGTGTGCCCATTCTTTCCAAATCAAGACGAGCTTTGATCGTGTCCTTTGTCTTTCCCCTCGATATCTAGAATCGTGCCCACCAATGTGTCGAATACATTTTTCTCAACATGCATCACATCTAGATTGTGCCTCAATTTTAGTTTCGACCAATATGGGAGCTCAAAAAACATAGGCTTGTGCGTCCAGTTCATATGTGTAGAAGGTCTGATACGACTAACTGTTTTCCCGAAGGGAGCAAAATCCAACCGGTTAAGCTGGTCCAATATCTCATCACCGGACCATTCTCTGGGTCTAAGGCGACGCTCTGTGTTCCCGTCGAACTCTTTATCTTTTTCCCTCCACTCATGGTCCCATGGCAACCATCTCCGATGACCAAGGTAACAAACTTTTCCAGCATGCCAACCAGAAGTTACATCTTCCTTGCATACAGGACATGCCATATAACCTTTTGTGCTCCACCCAGAAACCATTGCATATGCTGGGAAATCATTCACAGTCCACATAACTGCTGCCCGCAAAGTGAAACATCTTCCCAGTTGATTTATCGTACGTGCGAACACCGTTTGTCCATAAATCCTTCAGCTCATCAACCAGCGGCCTTAAGTAAACATCGATTGACCTCCCCAGGATCCTCAGTTATCAAAACAGTCATCATCATGTATTCTTTTTTCATGCATTTCCAAGGCGGCAAATTATATGGGAATACGAAAATCGGCCAAGTGTTGTGGTGTTGGTTTAGAACCCCATACGGATTGAATCCGTCAGTGGCAAGTCCCAATCTAACATTTCGGGGATCAGCAGCAAACTCGGGGAACGTTCGATCGAACTCTTTCCATGCCTCCCCATCTGCAGGATGCCGCATCACATTATCGTCTACCCGTTTTTCCTTATGCCATCTCATGTCTGTGGCAGTATGCGTCGACATATACAATTGCTGCAACCTAGGTTTCAGGGGCAAATAACGCATGACTTTTTGTGGGATCTTAGTCGTCCTATTCTGAGATGTCATCTTGAACCTCGACTCATTGCATATAGGACATGTATCCAACGATTCATGCTCTTTGTAGAATAACATGCAATTGTTTTTGCAAGCATGGATTTTTTCATAACCCAATCCAAGACCATTCAACACCTTCTGCGCTTGTTTATGGTCTTTCGGCAAAACAATTGTCCGTCGGAAGCATTCTCTTGAAAACCCCCAAAAAGTAATCGAAACACAGGTTCGACATACGATACTTTATTTTTCCGTGCATTAGCTCCACAATGGCCGTGAGAACGGAAAAGCTCTCGCACCCTGGGTATAACTCTTGGTTGGCATTTTTAACAATTTCTCATATTGTTCAAACTCCGCACTGTCTATTGGTGTAGGCACATCATCTTGCTCTTCTTGATTATGTTGGTCGATGCAAATGGAAAAACATCCTGTATAATATCCATGACTTGATCATTAGCATCCACAATAGGTTGAACATTGTCCACTCTTGTGGCATTTGAAGACAAAGCATGCTCTAATTGTTCCCCGTGAAGGTTCCAAATGCTATATGTCTCAATCATTCCATTCCTTACTAAATGAAATCCAACATTTTCAATTGTCTCCCATAACGTGTTGTTGCACCTCCTACAAGGACAACGGATTCTAGTTGCACCCGGGTTGTGTCTACGTGCAAACTCAATAAAATCCTTGATTCCATCCAAGTATTCGTCTGCGCATCTGTTCGGGTTCTGTATCCACCTTCTGTCCATAATTCCTGAAACCAGAATCACAACACAACAATCACAACAACTTCATACGAAGTTATAATGTCACCTTATGCCTCCGGTAAGGGTCCTATCCCATTCGGGAATGCATACTCCTGCCACGTAACCTACGACTACATGAGATTAGATTTCGACGTGGATGAATTTCGCCAGCATCTCGCTACAGTTCTTGAGGTGGCCATAGGTATAAATACCTACGTACCACCCGAAGAACGTACCGAGATGACAACGAAATATCCACAATCGAAACCTAATCCTGTAGCCATAGATTACGTGACAACACTATGCATTACCAAACTGTCCAAATAATGGGACAATTCAAGAATTAATTGGACCGCAGTCATGCATTACGCATCCATGCACGAAATCCAACTAATCTCGAACGGGAAACTAAGTGTTACTAAACATAAAAATAAAAGCACGAAGTTAATTTCAATTAACTTCGTACATCACAACAGATTGTACTACGTTACACACAATTTAACAACATAATATAAATATAACTTCACAAGAACATTTTAAACATAACAAATTAACATTATTAATATATAAAACGAATAAAATACCTTCTCAATCGTTCTCCACCAATCGCTAATTACAAATATCCCTAACGAAAACAATTAAAAAACCTTAGTACGAACTTAAATTAATACTTTTAAACTAATGACGAAAAATACTTACCCAATCAATGTATTGAAATCCCAGCAGCAGCAGAGAGGTTGAGAGAGAGGCAGAGGCAGAATGCTTTGTTTTTGCATTCTGCCTCTGCAATGGCAGAATTCTAATATGAAGAAGAAGGACTTTGCGCGACGAACACATACATTCGTCGCGCAAACCCCTGCCGACATCTAACTTTTGCGCGACGCTGGTACTTTCCGTCGCGCAATATTGTCGCGCAAAAACAAAATTCCGTCGCGCAAAACAAGATATTCATCGCGCAAACGTGGAACTTTACGCGACGAAGAGTACTTACGTCGCGCAAAAAAAAATATCCCAACCAGGTCATTTTGGCGCCAAAAATAAAATATCCCTCGTTCTCTTACGCGACGAAACATCTTCCCGTCGCGCTAAATAAGGGGACCCACTGGATATTGTCCTTTTTGTGCGACGAATCAATTTTCCGTCGCGCAATGTTGCCTTTAGCGACGATATTTCTCGTCGCGCAAATGTTTCGCGCCAAAAAAATTCCCCCCCGCTTTTTTTAACTCTGTTTGTGCGACGAAAAATTGTTTTGTCGCGCATATACATTTTGTGCGACGAAAAATTTTGGTGGCGCAAATTTTCAGTGGATTGCGCAACGAATATTTTCTTTCGTCGCGCCAGTATGGTTTGCGCGACGACTTATTCTTTGTTGCGCAAATGGTGAAACGTAGTAGTGTCATGAAGGTAGACGATTCAAGAGATAAACTACATAAGTAACAGCATCCATCCAGAACCTCTTTGGAACTGACGCACCAAGCAACAAAGCACGGGTAGCAGCAAGGATCTGCCCATTTTAACGTTTAGCAACCCCATTTTGTTGTGGTATTTGAGGGCAAGTAGTCTCACAAAGTACACCTCTAATGTGAAAAAAGGGGATAACGCCAAATTAACAAATTCTCCCCCATTATCATATCAAAAAACTTTGATAAGAAACATAAATTGAGTCTGAATCATCTGATCGAAACACTGAAAGATGTTGACCACATCACTTTTATTTGTCATCCCATATAACCACATCATACGAGTTCAATCATCCACAACTAACATAAACCAGCGAACTCCCAAGGCGGTAGAAACATGGGAGTTTCCCTAAACATCAGAATTAACTAAATCAAATGGCATAAGCTGTTTATTACAACTTGGAGGGTAGGATACTCGATGACTCTTAGCTAAAATACAAGTCTGACATTGGAAATCAAATTGGTTGACACCACTAAATAATGCAGGAAACAAATGACATAAATATCCAAAGGAGAGATGACCAAATCGGCAATGTAGCAACCAAATCCGCGATGATGAGAAGTTTCAGAGGGACTAGCAAGAAAAACCAGACTAGTTGTCACGTCATCCACATTATAAAGCCTCATTTTTAGTACCACGACCAAAGATCTCCCAAGTCTGGATATATCCTCTAGTAAGACAAACGACATATACATCAGTACAACATAGTTTAACTCCTCAGTAACTTGTGGCACAGGTAATAAATTACTAGACAAAAATGGAACCAGTAACACTTTGTCTAATTGTAAAGCATGTGTTAAGAGAACAGAACCAACCCTCATGACAGGAGCAGCAACATTATTAGCAATCAGAACATGATCACGATTAGGCAGAAGAGTAGTAAAGAATAAAAGAAACTTATTTGTCATATGGTTAGTAGCTCCTGAATTAATAATCCAACATGTATCACGTGTATCATGGTCATGGAAAGTCCTGCCAAAGTTACCTAGAGGCGGCATAGGTGCAAGAGGTGTTGGAGTGCTTGAGACTGCGGTCACGATCGGAGTAGGAGTAGCGGTAAGGTGGTCGTGCCTAGTGATGACATCAACCACAGAAGTGGAGGTAGCAGCTACAGTAGCTTTGCCACCTAATTGTTCCCTTTTTAAATGCCTTCGTTCCTTCTCCCAATTTGGTAACCTATGAAATGCCCAGCAAGTGGCGATAGTATGTCTCTTTACACCATGGTGATCACACTTCAGTTTGTCTTTTTCTACAGAAGTCAGGCGACGAGGAAGAATGGTAGAAGAGCCAGACCGTGTAGACCGAGAAACCAGAGTAGTGTTTTTGGAAGCAAACACAGCAGCAGGTTTCCCAATCTTGGTGCCAGATCCAAGCATAGTGTAGGGAGCTTTTTCTTCTGGCAACTAAAACGGGCTGGGTTGCCGTAAAGGGCAAATTGATGAAATTGTCCTCCTTTGTCTGAGTTTGAAAATCAAGCCCCAAAAGCGCTTCGAAAGGGCAGTAGAGCCTTAGGACGCGTTCTGGTTACCTTCACCAACGAAAATAATGGCTGCTTGCAGATGATTTCTTGATGCTTACAGATAAACTTTCTAGCTTGGCATGAGAGGCTTGTGACATGGGAGCAAAATCAGCATGAGTTTAGCACCAAAGAGGAAAATATGGCTTCCTAGGGAGAAATGAGAGTGTTTAAGGGGAGGAAGAAGAGGTTTGCAGGCTGATTCGGTTGAAAAGAGAGAAAGAAAGAACCACGTTCTTCCGGCAGCTTGACAGAAATTTTGTCATAAGAAGAAAATGGAGAATGAGGGTGAATAGTGCACGAGAATGCTGGGTTTTTGCAGGTAAGAGAGAAAGCTTGCTCTCTGAATCTGAGTTGTGATGATGGGTAGGAAATGTTTCTTTTTATAGTCGCTGGAAGCTGACATTTTCCAAGAAACCCTAATGGTTTCTATCCAATTTGGCCAAGTCTTTCCCTTCCTTTCTCCCCTCATCCCTTAAATCATCCTATTTTGGTGAAATTTCCTCTGCCCATTTGCATAAAATCAAGGATTTTGGGTGCTCAAATCCCTTTCCCGCAGCTGCCTCAGAACTCCCATTTTCAGCTATTTCCTTCCTTTCCTTTCTTCGTTTTTTATGGCCAGGTTTAATGAGGGAAAGAAATGAGTATGCATGCTAGTTCAAAGGGTGATCTACGCTCCAATATCCCTTGGTCATTTGAAAGTTTTGCTTGAAACTTGTTCCTCCCATGTGCTAGAGCTTCCCAGCAGCTTTCACACATGGATATTTTGGCTTTCAACGTGGCTTTTGTTTTCAGCTAGGTGCTGAAGATTTGCAGATATTTTCTTGGGTTGCTTGGGCCTTCTAAGATAATGGGTTGGTTTGTCAAAATAAATGGGCTAACCTCAACAAGTGTTGGCCTATTTTTGTTGAGGTGTTGGGCTAATTTGGTTAAGCTAATGGACCATTTTAGGCTGAGGTAATGGGCTATTTTTTGGTTGAGTTATTTTTCCTTTTGTGCTTACCCATATATTTGGGCCTAAGAAATGGGCTTGGGTTTCGAGGCTCCCAAGCAACCCGGAACCTCCGTTTCTCAACCCATCAATGGGCCTCATGACAATTTATTATCATCCATACCACAACCCACTCAAGCAAGCCCCGGGCATTTGAGTGGCTTAGGCCCACTTAAGCTTGTAGCATGGCATGACATGTGTACAAGCGCATATGATGAACTTTCGCGTGCCTAAATCGGGTTTCTTCTCGGTAAGGTATTGCATTGGGCTGAGAATTTATTTGGGCCGAAGCGTGGATTTTTTGGGCCTCAACACATAGTAATCTAGCTTTAAGCCTCTCGACGGACCAAAAAAAAATACATTTTCGATACTTGGAACTTTATCACTTTGTATAATATAACTGCAGACCTTGTCATAAGTATCGTCAAGGCTAGCCAAAAAATCTTACACACGATCAACCATAACAGGAACCTGAAAAGTCTTCATATCATTAGCACACTTCATCTGAAAAGGACGTCTCTTGTCCAATTCAAGCCAGATTGCCTTAAGTTCAACAAAATTGGTAGAGACAAGACGACTCTCTTACTTGAGAAGAGTAGCCTGGCACCGGAGTTCATAGAGCTGGGATATGTTAGATCCATCATAAAACATCTTATTAACAATATCCCAAATTTCCTTAGCAGAATGTTAAGTATGAAATATATTCAACAAACTGGATTCCATAGTTCACAGCTAACTTTTCACAGTAGCATCAGCAATTTTCCACTTCCCAAATTGTGGGTCTTGAGAATCAGGGGCATCAATGTCGCTAGTCAAGTAACCCAATTTGCCTTGTGTAGTAGCATGTAATTTGATCATTGAAGCCAATGTCTCATAGTTTGATCCATTCCATTTGAATTCCATGGGTAGATTGGTGGATGATTCAGTATGAACCTTCACAATAGGGGTAGAAGAAGAAGATTCAGTGACATCTAGTATGGTGATAAATGGCGGCAGCAGCAGAAGATTAGGTGGCGACGACAATAGTAAGACATATGAGACGACACAAGCTTAGGTATATAGGCGGCACAAGTTTAGGTGTATAGGCTAGGTGCAGCAGAAATATGTATTTTTTAGGATTAGGGTTTTGATTTGATGTTGTAAAGACGGATTGGAACCCGCTCTGATACCAACTCAAAAGTAATTAGGGTTTAAACTGATATGTTTATTCTTCTCTCAAGGAGGGATATATATACTGCATACATAGTGGGTACAAATAGGAAATATATACAAAATCTCCTAAATATACTCAAATTAGATAATTACAATAAAATACAAATCTTATTCCTAATATGAACGTTGACTTTGGCTCAATCCAACACATTGCATAGCTTTATTGCTATCCTCGTTGCAACTGAGTTTTTTAGCCTCAAGTTAGCAGTTACCATAAGGTAAATAGTGGCTCAATGTCAGGATAGGTCTAAAAGTTCAAATCTCCCTCACCCTTACAATTTTTTTTTTCTTCAAATTTTTTAGAAAGTCACACATGATTTATGTTTAGTACTCTATCTAGAGCACCATTTTCAATCTCTTCGTTCATTTGAAAGGGATCTTTATAATGTGTGTGAAAGTTTGTACAAAGATGAGTCTTTGGTGAGAGCCGTGGCCTTCTTTGACAGTTTCATCTAAGAGCCAGCCTTGGCTTTTACATTGCCAGAAAGGCATGTTTCTTCTGTTGAGATAAGTCTGTCGGTAGGTCCTACACTTTCCCCTGCGTGATATGTCTCTGCTGTTTTGTGTTTTAGTTATATAGTGGAAGGTCATATCATTCATACTTGGGCTAAATGCCTTGGTTAGTACAAATTTTAGAGTGTCCTTTATAAAATTTGTCTTCTCTTCATAATTATCATAAATTTCATATTTTAAATGGGTTAAGTACTAATTTCATCATCTACACGATTAAAAACTTAAAATTTAATAATTTATATTCCAACAGAGAAAAGAAATAAAAAAAATAAACATTTCATAAAGTGCAATATTAAGGTACCCAACTCATACATAAAAAAATATGAGGAAAATAAAAAAATTCATAAAGCTTAAACAAAGGAGGAAGAGGAAGAGAAAGAAAGGTTAAAACTTTAGCCCCCCGATTGGATGAAGGAATTGAGAATTACATAGAATTCTAAAATGATAGAATTTAGATTTCCATCATTTTAATTTCTAGCAATTGAAGATTTTAATGTTTGGATTTATGTATATTGAATTTTGTAAATGACAATGTAGAAATTGTGAAATGATGCCTATTCTGGTGGAAATAAAACTTGAGAATTTGATGCCCCAATTTTCACAACTTTTTTCGCTCGTCATTTAATAAATTCCGCACTTAAGTTGCCAAACAAGAGTATTGTCAATTTCTTCTCTTAAATTTCCGACTTTTAACTAAATTCCGAATTATTTTTCCTCATTCAAAAGGAGAGTAGGAGTTTTTAGTGCAAGTGTCATAAACTAACCTAGATGATATAAGGAAGATGAGTAGAAGAGAGATCAAGTAATTTGATGGTTAATTTGTAGACCAAAAGAATCTAATATATTATTTTATTTTTAGGATAATTAATATCCTAAAATATTATATATCATATAATATACAAATAGAAGAGGTAAAAATAGAGTGGGGGCTTGGGACCACACTGGTCCTAGACTGGCTCCGCCCCTAGTTAGTACTAGTGGATTCTGTTTCTATAAATTGATACATTATAGTGTGAAATTTTGTTTTAGTCCCGATACCGCGTTGAACATAAGGACACTCATTCCCTGCACGTGCAAGAAGAGTTTATACCATAATAATTAGTCTACTTTAACCATTTAGCTCTTGATGTACTAATATTTCTTGTTGAAATGTTGGTTCATCCCCTTTGATTTTTTTATTTTTTTTATAAAAAAAAAGTCTACCTTACCTTGGTAATACAAACAAGTTCTTATTATTGGTGTGGATTGTTCCTCTGTCTTTTGACTAATTATAGGTGTTGCTGGCTCCAACACTTTCCACTGAGTTATGAAAGGTCATATGATTCCTGATTTGGACCAAATGGCTAAATGAGTATGAATCATGATGGCTTTGTAGAATTTGTCCCACTACAATTCTGTTACTATTGAACGCGAACCAATACCAGTTTCATTCAGTACAAATTATAGTTTTCCACTGGCAGGAACTATTTTTTCTTATTCCACTTCCTCTTCTTGTTTCTCTGTTTCTGTGTCTCAAAATGGAGATGGCGTTGCTCTTAATTTCTGTCTTTTTTTGTTACTATTATCTCTTGTCTTGCCACTTTGTACTACCCTTGACACTTTAGTACCAGAAAAACCTATCACTGCAAACCAGACCTTGACTTCTTCTAGTGGAAGCTTCGCATTAGGCTTCTTCAGTCCTCCAAATTCTACCAGATACTTCCTTGGTATATGGTACAACACAATTCCAAAGACTGAATCAATTGTATGGGTTGCTAACAGAGCATCCCCTCTTGATTCTCCAGGTGTTTTCGCGCTCAGCGCTGACGGGAATCTGGTTGTGTTAGATGGGATTACTAGAAAACTAGTTATCCGGTCATCTAATGCATCAGTACCTGCTTCTGCAATGAATGCCACAAGTGCTGAGCTCCTGGACAGTGGAAACCTTCAACTGAGACATGGAGAAGATACTTTGTGGCAGAGCTTCGATCATCCCTCTGATACATTGTTGCCTGGCATGAGGCTTTGCGTGAACAAAAGAACAGGCTATCAAATGCGTCTTACATCCTGGGCAGCACTTGAAGATCCACAACCCGGAAAGTTCACCTTAGGCTTTGATCCCAAAGTGGCGCCTGGCCAGGTTTTTATCTGGAAGGAAAATGCTACATACTGGAGAAGTATTATCTGCATTGGCAAGAAAACACAAACAACTTTTGGCAATTTAGGAGGTTTATCTTAGTTATGGTGTGTCGGTGTCGGTTAGCTCAATAAAATTGATGGTCAAGTTGAACCGAACTGGGCAGATTGTGCTGCAGTAGTGGCGGGATTACAGTAGAACATGGTTTCCATATTGGACAGAGCCAGTTCATAAATGTGAATTTTATTCTCAATGCGGTCCTGATGGTGCCTGTGATATAAACAGCAATCCCCTCTCATCACAGTGCAAGTGTCAGAAAGGTTTTAGGACCAAATTTCACAAAAAATGGGCTATGGGGGATTGGCCCAGAGGCTGTGTTTGGGAAAAGGAATTGACTTGTGATAAAGAAGAAGGGTTCTCAAATTCAGGATGAAACTACCAGACCATTCTATTCAGTTAGGAAATAAGAGTATGAGTGAGTGTGAATCTGAATGCCATCAGAACTGCTCTTGCACAGCTTATGCTCATGTAAATGTAAATGTGACGGAAGAAAATACTGGGAGATGTTTGACATGGTTTGGCGACTTGATGGATCTTATAGCGAATCACACTCTCGGGGAAACTATTTATATTCGCCTTCATAGCTCAAATCAAAGTGCGTTAATTTGTTTCTTTTTCTATTTTCTGCATAAATGTGTCAATTAGGATTCTTTGAATCCAACAGTACTAGACTAGTAGTTGAGATTAGACTCAGTCACTCACTGATTTCACAAGATTACATTGATTAGTCAAAAGAAAAACAAGCCACTTGCCCAAAAAAGACAAAACAAGCCAGAGTTAGTTATTTTGGCTAGAAAGTGACCATTGTTTGGATCCTTCATTCCACGAGGTGGTTTTCTATTCTTTGCAGATGATAAGAGTCATGCTGATAATTTCTTGAAGCAACGGTCCAATGTAATTGCAATAGTCTCAGGAACAGCAGGATTTCTTACAATAACCTTTGGCTATTTCTTATGGAAGAAAAGTTTGAGAAGTGAAGGTAGTGCTAACGCGCAAGCACACACAAACACAGTCTCTCTCTCTCTCTCTCACACACACACACATGTGGAGGGACAGATTCTAGTATTCCAAACAAAGGATCCTCTAACGATGAGACTGAAACAGTGTCCATAGGAGGAAAAATGAGTGAGACTATAAGTAATATTAGTGCTGGAGGTGGAACGAATGATACAGAACTACCACTCTTCAGTTTAAGGAGTATATTAGCTGCTACTAACAACTTCTCCGAAGCTAATAAACTGGGAGAGGGAGGATTTGGCCCTGTTTATAAGGTGACACTTCCACTGTTTGCTCTATTTTAAAATATGATTTTTCTTTGTACTTTCTTTAAATAATAGTTTTCTTAATTAATTCTGATTGGTAAGGAGTTGGTTTTTTTTTTTGTGTGTGTGTGTGTGTGTGTGTGTGTGTGTGTGTGGTATTTTTGTTCCTCTACCGGGGATTTTGCCTGAAAATGAAGAAGTGGCCATAAAAAGGATGTCAAAGAAGTCAGGGCAAGGGCATCAGGAGTTCATGAATGAGTTAAAGCTTATAGCCAAGCTCAAACATACCAATCTTGTTAGGCTCTTGGGTTGCTGTGTTGAAGAGAAGGAGATGATATTGATCTATGAGTACATGCCCCATCGAAGTTTGGACAAACATCTGTTTGGTATGTGCTCACCATTTCTGAGATTAAATCTGTGATATTGTTGATTTCTGAGACATCACATTGAATTGCCTTTCTGGTACGACGACATTGTTCCCCCATTTAAAGAAAATCACTATACTAAACTCATTATTCCTCAATCAGATCCATCTGAAAATGCAAAATTGGATTGGGTTAACCGCTTTCGAATTATAGAAGGAATCGCTCAGGGGCTACTTTATATCCACAAGTACTCTAGATTGAAAATTATTCACAGGGACCTAAAAGCAAGTAATGTTCTGTTGGATGTAACAATGAACCCCAAAATTTCAGACTTTGGAATGGCAAGGATTTTTGGGATAAATCAAATTGAAGCAAATACCAACAGGGTTGTTGGCACATAGTAAGTATATGTATAGCACATGCTTTCATTCATGTATTAAAAACGATACGCAATCACTGGTCTTGCTCACTTCTCTACCATTAATTAATCCGTGCAGTGGCTACATGTCACATGAGTACGCACTGTATGGCCATTTTTCGGAGAATTTGGATGTGTTTAGCTTTGGAGTGTTTCTTTTAGAGATTGTAAGTGGAAAGAAGAATGTTGCTTTTCATTGTTTTCAAAATTCACTGACTCTTGCTGGATGGGTAAGTGTTAGAAAATCTAGTTTATATTCCTTTTTTTTCTTAAGCCTTTCAAATTTGCAATTAACTGCTAGCTTCAAACACCAGTGAATGTTCATGCAAGATTAATGTGCTTTTATATATAATCTTAAACCATAGGCATGGGAGTTATGGAAAGACGGCAGAAGAATGGAGGTGATTCATGAATCAGTAAGGGAAACATGCTCCCTTCGTGAAGCCCTGAGGTGTATCCAAGTAGGGCTTTTGTGTGTTCAAGAAGCTCCCGCTGATCGCCCAACAATGTCTTCTGTAATTCTTATGCTGGCCAATGAAGCTACATCTCTTCCTCACCAAAGAACCTGCTTTTTCAACAATTGGGAATTCTAGTGCTGCTGCTGCTTCTTTTTTTTCCAACAATGTAGTCACCATTACTACGCCACAAGCTCGATAGAGGTTCAATAATGTTTTCTTTTCTCAACGCGTTCAAAGTTATTATAAATGGAAAAATAAAAACAGTGTGACAAGTATGACAATCAATTGCAGTGATGTTGGCTGTTCCATCAGTGCAGTGACCATTAGATTGCCAGAAGCTCGACTCAGCTTAATCGGTCTTCACAATCTTTAGTATGTGGATTGTGTTTCAGTGGGAAAGCATTTTATTTCCCACAACCAAGCCTGCCCGCCAATTGTTTGACACTTCAACGATAAGCAGGGAAACAAATGAGAAAGGAAATAACTTTTCATCACATGCTCATTCCACTTGACCTGCAGTAGTCTCTACTCAAATGTTATAATGCAAAGAGGAATGCTATCAACCTTCTCTCTAACCTTCTCCTTTGGACCTTCTCCCTTTTTTGCTTGACATGTGTCATTCTCCTTACACTTAAAATAATGTCATTAATATATATACAAGTTAAATTTTGCTTTCCAAGTTTATCCTTATTAAATATATTCAATTTATCCACACAAAAATTCACAACTTTCTTACAATCTTTATATATATTTTTTAAATGTCAATTATTTTTTTTAAAGAAAATGTTTGCTTTTTTCAAAAAAGAGGAAATGTTCATTTTTTTTTAACACAAAGGACTTCTTTTTTTTCCTATCTAAACCCTTTGTGTTATAAATTATAAAAATAAAAAATAAAAAATAAAAAATTAACAAGATGGTAAGAAAAACTTGTGAAATTTTTTTGAATAAATTGAATACATTTAATAAGGGTAAATTTGGAAAGCAAAAGTTAGCTTGTATAATATATTAATGACATTGTTTTAAATGTAAAGAGAATGACGTATGTCAAGCAAAAATGGAGAAGGTTAGAGAGAAGGTTGCTAGCATTTCTCCGATCGAAAATTTCTGTAGGAAGCAGTAGTACTTGATTGCCCTAGCCTCCTAATATGCCACGTTGAAACAAAAAGCTTTTTTCAGTTCAAAGCACATGTCCATGTCTATGATGTCCCTTATGACTTTGTTGTCTTTCAGACATCCCGCTGAGTGGTAGGGTATGTTTGCCATAGTGGAAAGTATATGGTTGGGCCAATAGGGGATCCGATCAGGAGAAAATAAATGGTGGCCGCCAGAGGCGACTTTGGGGTGTGCAAGGGCGGTTGTGGCCCCAATTTTAAGAGGGCCCTCAATTTTTTTTTTCTTCTTTTGTTTCACTATATATATTATTTTATTATTATGTATAATATATTTGTTCTAATTTAATATATGATATATCCACCTCTAAAAAGAAATTATATCCACGGTTTCTTTTAAGTTGTTCTCGCATAATATATTAATACATTAAAATTACATATCAAAAGAGCTCTTGTTAATAATTATAATTATATCCACCGTGCATACGTTTTTCTTTTGGTTAATTATAATTAATAATTTGATGAACCATGGGTTTTTTTATTTTATATTCCTTGTTGAATTATTTATTTGATAATCCTTTATAATATTTTTAAAAATAGATATTAATGAGTTTGTTCAAGAGTATGTTCTAGGAGGCCCTATTTGTACAGAGCCCCTGGTGGCCTCGTGTTGTCCCTACTGGATTTCTGTCACTACCGACATTTGGATTTAACAATTGATGAAATTAAGGTTCTTTAGAACACATGATGCTCATTTTAAATGGAGGAGATGCAATTATGGTGTGCACTTTAACTAGTTTTAGTGACACTTTTATATACGGAATAATTATTGCTAGACACTTGTATTAGTTTAAGGCATGAACTTCCTTCTTCTTCCTCTGTCTCTCTGTATCTGAATGGGAGGTTCTTTCTTTGTATTGTCATTGTTCTCTTCTCTCTTTGTACCAGCCAAGACAACTTAGTACCCGGCAAATCTATCAGTGCAAACCAGACTTTGACTTCTTCCAGTGGAACCTTTGCATTAGGCTTCTTCAGTCCTCAAAATTCTAAGAAGTTTTTCCTGGGTATATGGTGTTGGTAAAATATAAAGATAATTGCTATACTTACAGAAGTTCAAAAATAAAACTTCATTTAAATTTGAAATAAATATAAGAAAATAACGACAAGGAAAATATTAAGAATACTTTACAGATGATCGAGTCTAGAACTTGATTCTATCTCCTTAAGATTAAATTGCCTTCTCATAGGTGCTTTTAGGATTTGCTTTGCAAACGTCTCCCAAGATACAACGATCGACTTCTTGTTGAAGTAGAACTACAATCCCCAAGAAAAGTGAACTCAAACTTGTGTATAAATTCTCTCTTACTAACTCACTATATTTCGGAAAATATAATGCTACGAATGCTCTAAAAACTACTATTGTTGGATGACAATTGAATGAATGAAATGTTGTAGGACCTTCTCTATTTATAGACAACAAGGCCTCTGTTCAGAAAAGATGTGACTGAAAAATATCAACAAATGTGTCTTTTCCTGTTACAACCATAGGCCAAGAAGTACAATGTTTCAATTACTATGAAACAATGCAACTTAAACCAAGAAGTGCAATGTTTCAATTACTACGAAACAATGCAACTTAAGCCAAGAAGTGCAATGTTTCAATTTCTATAAACAATGCACCTTTTCACATATGAAATAATGCAACTTAAGCTAAGAAGTACAATGTCATACTGATTAAGATCAAAAATTAATTTTTTTTATCCTCTTTTTCTTCTCACCCAACCTTCTCTATGGCGGCCTTTGCTTCTGGTTCCAGCTTTTCCTTTGTTGCTCATATGCCCAATGTTTCCAACGTGTTGATCGTCAAGTTGGAACGTAATACCTATCCTTTATGGCTTGCACAAATTGTGACGCTTCTTTGCAGCCGCTCTCTTATGAAGTATGTTGACGGTACCAGTATCTGCCCTCAAGCCTTTCTCTCAGATGTTGCTGGTAAACCAACTGACAAGGTGAATCTGGCTTATGAGGACTGGATTCAACTGGATAAAATGGTGTTGTCCTGGCTTAATAGGTCTCTCTCTCTTGATATGCTTGCCATCGTTGCTCGTTCTACTTCTGCGCACCTCACTTGGTTATCTATTGAAAAACGTTATGCTTCCCAAAATCAAAATCAAGTCCTCCAGCTTTGTGGTGACTTGCTACAAACTACTCGAGGTAATCTCTCGATTGCTGACTTTCTTGATAAGGTGAACTCTCTGGCTAACAACCTTACTCTTTCTGGCACCTTTGTGAGTGACTCTAATCTTGTTGCCTATTTTCATGAACAACATGGGTCCTTTATATGAGACTACTGTTAGCTCTGCCCAAGCTCGTGATTCTCCCATTACTTATGATACCCTTAAGGCTCTTCTTCTTAGTGCTAAACGTCGGCTCCAGTCTGTCCAACTTCTTAGTTCTGACCTCGGAGGTATTGCTATGGTTTCTTCACGTGGACGTGGTAGTTTTCATGGCCATGGCTCGTTTGGACAGCATGGTAGCCGTGGTGTTTTTGACGGTTTCTCTTTTCATGGTGGTTATGGTAGTTTTTCCCTTTCCACAACTAGTGTTGTTGGTGCTGCTCCGTCTTCTTCCAGTAGTGTTTCTTCTTCTTTCCTTGGTGATGCTTCCTCATCTTCCATGGCTCTTGGTCCTACTGCCTTTCCTTCTAGTTCACGGATTCTTTATCAAATATGTGGCCATGGTGGTCACGCCGCCTTGGATTGCTATAACCGCATGAATCTTGCCTTTGAAGGTCATGTTCCTACTTAGCGCTTATCTGCCATGGCTGCTTCTTCCTCTCAACAACATGGATCCTCTTCTTGGCTTATGGATACTAGTGCCAACTCTCATATTACCCCAAATGTGGGTGCTATGAACAACCCAAGAGAATGTCGTGGTAATGACTCCATTGGCAGAACAGGTTTAACTATATCTCATATTGGTAATTCTAATATTGTTCACGGTTCTTTTCTTATTCTTTGTCTAACCTTCTTTGTTGCTCTCAAGCCTGTACTAAACTTGTTTCTGTTAACCGTTTTTCTCGTGACAATGACTGTTTCTTCACCTTTTATTCTACCTATTTTTGTGTACAAGATTTGAAGACTGAGAGGATCATTTTCTGTTGTCCGAGTATTAATGGTCTTTACCCTTTTCCATCTTCATCAAGTTCAACTCCTCCAGATACGCGAGTTGCTTCCGTATTAGTTCGAGTCAATAAGGATGTATGGCATTCTCAGCTTGGCCATCCTGCCTCATCCATTTTGCATCGTTTGGTGTCTTGTCAACATTTGCCTTTATTAGAAAATAAAACTAAATTTTTTTGTTCATCATGCCCTTTGGGCAAAAGTGTTAAACTTCCATTTTCTTCATTTAATTTTATTGCTAAGTTTCGTTTGGAAGTTATTCATTCAGATGTTTGGAGTGCATCTAATTCTTCAATTTCTGGTTTCAAGTATTATGTATTATTTGTTGATAATTTCGGGTTTATCCCATGAGTTTTAAATCTGAAGTATTTTCTAGTTTTGTTAAATTTAAATCCCTTGTTGAAAACATGTTTACATCTCGCATAAAGATGTTTCAAACTTATGGAGGGGATGAATATACTAATCTTGTGTTTAGGACGTTTTAAGAAACTAATGGGATTAATCATCGGTTAACCTGTCCTCATCATCCTGAACAAAATAGTTTAGCCGAACACAAGCATTGTCATATTGTTGATATGCGCCTTACCTTGTTGGCCCATGCCTCCATGCCCGTCACTTATTTGGCCGAGGCCATTCACATCATTGTTTATCTTATTAATCATCTCCCCTCATACTCCACAATATGATTTTCTTAAAAATTTTGGATGCGCATGTTTTCCCTATCTTCACCCTTATAATAACAACAAGTTGCAATTTCGTTCACTTAAATGCATTTTCCTAGGGTACTCGCTAAATCAAAAGGGATATAGGTGCCTTGATCCATCTACCGGTCAGGTCTTTCTCTCCCGACATGTTGTATTTGATGAAACCACTTTCCCATATGCAACACTTCATACTCAGACTATGAGGGTGTCTTCCTTGCCTTTAGATTCTACTCCTATAATTTTTTTTCTCCTACTACACCGCCACTTATAGTCATTTCCTCCTCTCCCCCAACACCACCTACTGCCCATGCTACTCCTGTTATTAAAAATTGTGGTTTTTCCTTTTTTATAAAATTCTTATTTAAACCTTTAGATGTAAATAATAAATATAAAACAAAGCTTAGACAGCAAAGTAAAAAATAAAGAGACAAATAAATAAATAAATCGAATAAGTTAAAATTAAGAAAGCAAGCCTGGTATAGTGAAAGCACGTCAAAGACGCTGTCCTAAAGCCTTTGTAGCCTCCCTATGTGCAGGTAATGACGGTTTACAATTTGGACAACCAATGCTTGGATTTGAATAGATGTGTAAAACCAATGTATTTGGACTCTCTTTTCTATGGGCAGGTTTGTTTTTTATTTGGACAAACTTGGATTAGAAATAGCGTCAATGCATTGCCTGCAGTATTGGCTTTGACAAGGATGGGGATAAAATGAAATATACTGTCTACATAAGAGGCCAATGTGTAAACATATCCACATTCAAAGCCTGGAATAAAAGCCATACAAATCTTATGAAAGTTTATTAAAAAATTATACGAAAGTCTTCTGAAAGTCTATCAAGTTCTATACAAATTCTAAAGTTCCATCAAGTTCTATGAAAGCTGACACTTAAACAAAATCTTTTTAAATGCTCTAGAATCCTAATTGAATACACCCCCCTAAGCTAGTCTCTTTCTAACATTTTAATACGTGAAGTATTTGAATTGAGTATTTGAAAGGAAAATATATAGCACTCATTAATGATTGACTTGGATTAAGTAGACGCATGACTTGACCCTTCAATGGTTGAATTGGATTAAGTAGCAAGACATTATCTTTCTTGTGTGCAAATTACTAGTGCAGCCATGGATACGAAAACCAACCCAATGTTGGTGTTTATAGTTGTTTTATTGTGCCTATTTCTCGAGTCCCGTATCTCCTTTGCAGCTGACACCATCAATGCAAACCAATCTCTCTCCGGTGACCAGACAATCGTCTCCGGGGATTTTGAACTGGGGTTCTTCGAATTCGATGGCCGCCACTACATAGGTACCTGGTATTCCGGCCGAGTGGTATCTGCGAATACCATAGTTTGGGTGGCAAATAGGGAAATACCAATCTCTGACAGATTTTCATCAGTGTTGAATATCTCAGATGGCAATTTAGTTCTCTTTAATGAGGCCAAAACTCCAGTTTGGTCCACCCATTTGAGCTCCACCACCACCCCTGCTTCTGTGCAAGCAGTTCTTTTAGATAGTGGAAATCTTGTCTTAAGAGCTCATTCTAGTTCATCTGAGTTTTTATGGCAAAGCTTTGATCATCCAACGCATACATGGCTACCAGGAGCCAAGCTTGGATTCAACAATATTACCAATCAAACCCAAATTCTCACTTCATGGAAGAACTCACGGGATCCTGCACCAGGTCTTTACTCTTTTAAGCTAGACCGAAGCAATTCATATATCTTACTGTGGAATAGGTCTAAACAGTATTGGACCAGTGGATCTTGGAATGCAAGTTCAAATATTTTCAGCTTGCTTCCTTATATGAGGCATAATTACGTCTACAACTACAGCTTTGTTTCAAATGAAAACGGAAGTTATCTCACCTATTCGCTTTATGATCCAAAAAAAGTATCTCCAACCATGATGCCAGTATCAGGGCAGATCCAGCAACTAATTTGGTATACGCCTTCCAGGCCATGGAAAATATTTTGGTCTGAACCAAGACAGCAATGTGCAGTTTATGCTATTTGCGGGCCATTTGGGAGCTGCAATGAAAAATCCGGGGTCTTGTGTAATTGTTTAATGGGTTTTGAGCAGAAGTCGCCACAGGATTGGGCTTTGCAGGATTACTCTGGTGGGTGTCAGAGAAAAACCAATTTGCAGTGTGGGAATTCAACTAGTGTTATTGGGACGAAAGACCAGTTTCTAGAAATGCATAGCATGTCAATGCCTGAAAATGAACTGCATGTTAAGGTTGGGAGTGCTAAGAAATGTGAATCAATCTGCTTAAATAACTGCTCTTGCACTGCTTATGCTTATGAAAGCAGTAACGCATGTTCAATTTGGATTGGAGATCTCCTGGGTGTGCAAGAACTTGTGGCAGATGACGCTGGTGGAAGAACTTTATACATCAGACTTGCAGCTTCTGAGCTTATGTATCTTAAAAGTAATAAGTGGATAATTATTGGTGTTGTTATGAAAGATCATTTCTTGGATAGCCATCCTTTTAATTGGTCAACCTGAATATTTAATTTTATTTAATTTTATTTTTTGCAGATGGCAAGGGTGATGCGGATAAGCGCCCCTTTATAATTGCAATGGTCTTAGCAGCAGCAGAGTTGCTTATGATAATTTTTTGCTATTTCCTATGGAAGAAAAGATTGGGGAAGCGAAGGTATTGCCACCACTCTGTCTCTCATTCTCACACACACATGCACTCATGCATTCACACGGATTCTATAAACAAATGATCCATGCTCTGAAATAGGATGCAGAGGAGGAAGTATGGTGTGACAAAAATAAATTATGGTGCTGGAGGTGGAAAGAATGACACAGAACTACCAATCTTCGGTTTAAAGAGTATATTAAATGCAACAAACAACTTCTCTGAAGCTAATAAACTGGGAGAGGGAGGATTTGGCCCTGTTTATAAGGTGACTCTTCCCTGTAATTAAAGTACATTAGTTTTTCTTTCATAAATATTATACTTTTTGGTTCTCTTAACAACCTTTTTCCTAAATAAGTTCGATTGGTAGGATGGTGGTTCACTTTGTGTTTGATTTTCCGTCCACTGCAGGGGATTTTGCCAGAAAATCAAGAAGTAGCCATAAAAAGACTGTCAAAGAAGTCAGGGCAAGGACGTGAGGAGTTCATAAATGAGTTAAATCTTATGGCCAAGCTCCAGCATACCAATCTTGTTAGGCTCTTAGGTTGCTGTATTGAGGAGGAGGAACTGATCTTGATCTATGAGTTCATGCCCAACCGAAGTTTGGACAAACTTTTGTTCGGTATATCCTCATTCCTTAGAAGATTGATTCTTTGATATTGTTGATTTCTGGGACCTCAAATTTGATTACCTTTTAGCAAGATCCTTTTCAATGCGCAAAAGTTGTGTAATGCAAGATCTTTTTCCATTTGTCCAGCATTTCATCTATAATAAAAAGAAAAACACCTAGCTAAATTTTCTTCATGGTTTGTCCTATCAGATCCATCTGAAAATGCAGAATTAGATTGGGGGAAACGCTTTCGAATTATAGAGGGTATTGCTCAGGGAGTACTTTATATCCACAAGTACTCCAGATTGAAAATCATACACAGGGACCTGAAAGCAAGTAATGTTCTGTTGGATGGAGCAATGAACCCAAAAATATCAGACTTTGGGATGGCTAAGATTTTTGAGATAAATCAAACTGAAGCAAATACCAACAGGGTTGTTGGCACATAGTAAGTATATATAAGACAAGTTTTTCATTCAGTTTTGCTAAACCTTATACAATCACCGGTATTGCTTACTTCTTTACCATCAATTCATGCAGCGGATACATGTCTCCAGAATATGCAAGATATGGCCATTTCTCTGATAAACTAGATGTGTTTAGTTTTGGAGTGTTGTTGTTGGAGATTGTAAGTGGAAAGAGGAATGCTGCTTTTTATCAC